CTTAGAGGGACAGTGAGGCTCTTCCAGTGGACCATGTCCCAACACTCACTCCAGTCCCACCCTCCTCCACTGGAGGCCCTTGGATCTGCCTCAGGCCTGCATAGGTGCCCCTGACATGAGCGATGTGAAGCTGGTCACGCCCAGCCAGTAGGCCATACCCATCCAGTGGGCCATGCCCACCTCAGCCATGCCCACCCATTAGACCACACCCATGCTAGCTACACCCACCCGGTTCCCCGAGGGCAACCACAATGCTAATGTGACCCTCAATGAAATTGAGTTTGACACCCCTGGTATAGACCTACCAAACTGAACAAGAAGTCAGATACTTTATTTTGTATAGTTTATTCAGTACTCTAGAGTTGGTTTTATAAACTGCGTTAATATACTATATTATTGAAAGTTTTCTATAAACTTTTTCAAGACTATGAAACAATACTCAAATGTTTTAAACCAGAAAGTAAATAAATAACCAAACTCCTTACATTTCATCTAAAAAAAATTAAGATTCTGGTTAAATTTTTTTTCTAGAAAAAAAATCTCTTCCAAATTATTTTTCCTCTAAGGGTCTCTTTTTCTTCCTAAAACAATACATTTTAGTAACTACACTTTTCCTAGGAATTCAGATCTACAAATTCTGAAAAGAGTGTGTTTTGGTGTACAATTATTTTCTCTTCCATCTCAAGGAACAGCAAAAAGGATACTGGATTCAAAAACATGCCTTAAAAATAAAGGAATTTATGAAAAATCACGTCCAGCTACTCAAATGAAAATAGGACTTTGTCATGTCAATGAGCTTTGCTGCAAAGCATAAGATACAGAAATTGAAATATTCATAGCATTTATTTCATTTTATCTCTTAAATAGGATTAGATAAATTGTTCTATGTTCTGTCCATGCCAGTTCTCCTCATAAGCTTATAAGGAAGCCTTAAGTGTCCACCAGATGAGCCTTGCTTTCCATGCAAATATAAATCCTGTTGCATCAGACATTGAACATGCAAAGGCCTCTTTAGTTTAAAGAATTTCACTGAATGAGTGGAGCTTCTTTTGCTGGAATGTCACAAGTGTGGTTTTTGGAAATTCTTAACATGGTGAATTTAATATTTCTTTTCTAATGGCAATTTTTATTGCCTCTTAACTGCCCACATAAAACTGTGTGGAATGGAGAGACAACGTGCCATAATATTTCACAAATGAACCTGAGGCTGCAGAATAAGGAATAAGGTGACTTCATAAACCAACCCTGATGAATAAGAGTTATTAGATCCATTCATGTCTCCCTCTCCTCCCAGTAGAATCCATGTACAAAGATTGCATGTATGATATTTTGAGGATGATTATTTAATAAAAAAATAATTGAATGATTGCATCATATCAATATATTTCAAATTATGTCCAACCAATTAGGAAAAGCTAAAGGAAAGACTTCTGAATAAAACAGAAAAATCCATCACTTCTACATGAATGCCTAATGGAGTCTGGATTATAGAAGCTTTAAAAACATGAGAAAAATCTTTGATGGTTTGAATGCTTTCAAACAATTATTCTTATTAAAATAATCTGACTTTACAAATGATAGTATGTGTTTTTCTGTGTCTCAAAATCATTGAAAGACATTCTTGGAATATTTAACAAAATCCAATATTTCAACCCAAAATATTCCCTTCTTTATGCAGTCCTGTCCCAGCCGCCACATCCCTCCTCTTTCCCCATTGGCTAAGATACTATGAGGTTATACTCTTTCCAACTGCCTCCTACCTATTTCCTGCTACGTACTCAATTGTACATCACAAGTACATTAATAATATAAAGTATTAGACATATTCAATTGTTGGTTTTGAGTTCTGGGCCCCTTAGAACATATTGTTCATGAACTTTCAGGTCCATAGATAGTTCATAAAAAGATTTCTTTTTGAATGGGAGGGCTGAATGCAATGTCTGTACAGTGAATCCTCAACTCACTTCAGTCAATCAGATCTTCAGCTTTAAAAGGAGCCAGCCCTTCCTTGAGTCACTCTGGAGGTGGAGATTCTGACTCTTTCCAGTTGTGGTGAATGAATCAGGAGAAAACAGGCCAATACTTTCTTATCATCTGTCAATGGAAAAAATAATAATAAATTCATGACCACAATTTTTGTTGTTCATTAGAATGGAATGGAATGCCAAATTCTTAGAAATTATAGCAATCCTTTATCAGTTATTTTCTTTTATGTTAAAACACATACTCACTCACTTTTTAGTTGAATCCAAGGAAGAGCTTGTCTACATGAGGGATGACCCTTTGTGAACAGATAAATTGACTGGCAGAATTTAAAGCTGAGGAAAAGTATAAGAGATTAATGTAAACATAAATCATATTGTTTAAGGCAGCAAGATAAACAAGAAAGTCTGAATGCTACCTATATTTTCTTAAAATGGAGCTGAAGAAAATGAAGTGATCATGCAGTTTAACTATGGATTCCTCTTCAAGTTCATTCCTCCCTTCACACGACTCTGTGACTGTTGATTCCTATGACCCATGTTCTGTCATTGGGCCCTAATCTTAGATTCAATAAATTGAAAGGCCTTGTGTTTACCAAGGTCAAAGGCCTTAGCTGAGCATACTGTTTGCAATGCCTCATTTAGAAAATTATGTTGCAATGCCTCATTTAGAAAATTATAGAATGTACCATGTGATTGTAGCACTTTTTTTCCTTCAAAATGCATCACCTTGCCTTCCAGACATTGTTTTTCTGAGAAGACCGGGATCCTATGCACAATGTTCCCATTGTTTTCAGATTAGTGCACTCCATATAATTTTACTTCATTCAAAGATCATTACTCTTATCAGCTGTTTGTGGAGAAGTCTTCCTCTTAATTGTTTAGTGAGCCATAATTTATACTAGAGAATGGGATAAAGTGCTGTTCTAATCCCAAAGACAAATTCATTTGTATCCTTAAAGCAAACAAATCAATTGTTTGTGTACTTTAAAAACTAAGCTGTTCCTGGGTTTGAGGAAAAGCACAATTATTTTGAAGAGTGCTCAGCAAAGAAATAGAAGAAGCTGCACTCATTAAACTGCTGTGCCTTCCCAATGCTTCAAATTGTGACCCAGAAAATGTTGCACCCATACACAGAGCTCAGTTCCTCTTTTCTCCTGTGTTTTTGTTCTATGTTCCATTTTTCTTAAGAATTTGTGCCGACCACAAACAATCATCTTTTCCCATTAAATGTCAACAACAAGCGAAAGCCAAGAGCTAGTTAGCAAGTTCAAATCTAAAATATTTCCTTTCACAGTCCCCATTTCTTATCCATAAGGGCAACACTTTCATTTATTATTCTATGAATAGGGATAGGAACAAGGGGCGCTAGCATCATCATGTTGTTTAAGACAAGATGGGGCTATTTACTTAATGTTTCAATCGGAACTCTTGTAGATTTATGACCTACAAGGGAAATCTACTTCCAATGCAGTTATAGCAAATTAAATGTTATCCTAATAGGGAGAATATGTGTCTGGGTTATTCAAACATCTTATTGTAGCATATGTTGGATCCCCAACAGACAGACTAATGTTTAGGCATTGCATAAACGAAGCAACAGAAAGATGCTCCAAGGGGGGGGGCGTTCACATGAGGTCACAGAATATGTTTGGTTCCTTACTGGAAGAGAAATATTCAAGGGGGACAGAGTTGCATTATGCTCTACAGCCCAAGTGCTCCTTGCCATCAGAGGCATTGCTGCAGGTTTATGACAGAAAGAGAACACATGCTTCCTTAACAATATAATGACAAGATAAAGAAGCACTAAAATGCAAAATATAGTAAGACATAACACCAAGATTTTTCCTCCAAAACCTGAGAATATCCCAGAAAGTATATTCCAAAAGCCTCAACAGAATCTTTCTTGTATTCAATGACTGCTTTTCTAATTTTAGAAATATCATTAAACAGACTTTGATTACCGTCCAGGATAAGAACACAGGAAGAAAAAGTTCACAGAAGAGCAACTAAAATGATCAAAAGCCTGGAGACTAAAACATATGAAAAATGGCTGCGGGAATTGGGTTTGGCTAGTCTAAAGAAAAGAAGAAATAGGGGAGACATGATAGCAGTGTTCTAGTATTGGAGGAGCTGCTACAAAGAAGAGAGATCAAATTATTCTCCAAAGCACCAGAGGACAAGACAAGAAACAATGGTTGGAAACTGATCAAAGAGAGAAGCAACCTGGAATTAAGGAGAAACTTCCTGACAGTGAGGACAATTAACAGCTTGCCTCCAGAAATCATCAGTGCTCCATCACTGGAGATTTTAAAGAAGAGGCTAGACAGTCACTTGTCTGGCAGGGGAGGGGAGGGGGAGGAAATTCATAGTGGTTTTGGAATCAAAAGAGTAACAGATGGGAGCTGGTCAAGTTAATTTTCTTTCCCTTTGCCTAAGGTACTGTATACAAGTGAACAGTTGGGGTAATTTATAAAGACAACTGAGAGAGTTCTGGTTGTATTTTAAAAAATTAATTGTTTAAGACTTTGAAAAGAAGCACCAATATATTATGCACACCAATGAAAAAGAAGCAAATGGGATAAAAATGCTGATTTCTTTCTTCTTTATCCTGCAGTCAGCTTTCAGCATTCTGTGTTCCAGAGAACTTATTAATAATGCTGGAAATACTCTTCAGTGGCAACCTTACAATGGAGACCATAATCTAACCTGGAAATGTCATAGTCACAGAGAAAGGTACCCAGACAATCCTTACCCAAGATAAGTAACAGCTGGATTATGGATATTATTGGGTAAAAGGTTTACTTGACTATTAAACCACTCTCTTTTAGCCGCTGAAATGAGCCAATAAACATCTCCAGTCATGGAAACTAGCCTTTTAAGGAAAATACCACCTCTTCCAATTAACATCAAGATACAGAGAAAGAAACAACCAATCCAATTGTTCCCCTGTCTGGCTGTCATTGATATTTGCATTTGTAATGAGATGTACACCCCACAGTGATGATTTAAAAGATGGGATGCAATATACCTTCTAGGCTTCTTTTGGTGACTGGACCAGAGAGGAGTTAATCAGCTCCCTTGAACTTGCCCTAACCATGAAGGCTTGGTGTGTCCTCCTTTTCCTCACCTTTGTGATTCTTTCTGATCTGGGTAAGTCAATTCTGATGAAACCTTTATACTAATGTTCATGATGAAGGATCAGGCTCTTCAGAAAGAAACATGTATTTAATCCATAGACCTACCAAACTGAACAAGTAGTCAGATACTTTATTTTGCATAGTTTATTCAATACTCTATAAAGCTGGTTTTATAAACTGCTTATAAATCTACTATATTATTGGAAGTTTTCTGTAAACTTTTCAAGACTGTGAAGCAATACAGTACTAAAATGCTTTAAACCAGAAAGTAAATAAATAACCAAGCTCCTTAAATTTCATCTAAAAATATCTTAGATTCTGATTAAAATTTTATCTAGAAAAAAATATCTTCCAATTTGTTTCCCTTAAGGGTCTCTTTTTCATAAGTTTTCTTCCTAAAACAATATATTTTAGTAACTACACTTTTCCTAGGAATTTAGATCTACAAATTCTGAAAAGGGTGTGTTTAGGTGTATGATTAGTTTCTCTTCCATCTCCAGGTGAAGCAGTGAGGATAATGGATTCGAGAACATGCCTGATAAATAAAGGAGTTTGCAAAAAGTCATGTCCTGATCATCTGACAAAGATAGGACTTTGTCATGTCAATGAGCCTTGCTGCAAAGCGTAAGGTGCAGACATTGAAATATTCATAGCATTTATTTCATTTTATTTCATAATTAGGATCAGACAAATTGTTCCATGTTCTGTCCATGCCAGTTCTCCTCATAAGCTTATACCCCTTTAGTGTCAAATTTATCACGCAAATGACTAAAATAAGTTCCATTTTCTTGGGATAGCCTCTGCAAAGTCCTTGTAACAGAAGCATCTGTCTGTCTACACTAAGGAAGCCTTCAAGTGTCCACCAGATGAGCTTTGCCTTCCATGCAAATTTAAATCCTGTCACATCAGACATCAAACTTGTGAAAGCTTCTTTAGTATAGATAACTTCACTGAATGGCACAAGTGTGGGTTTTGACAATTGTTAACAAGGTGAATTTAATACTTCTTTTCTAGTGGAAATGTTTATCCAATTTCTCAAAATTAATACAGAAGTACACCCATTCGCAGATAAAGGAAAATATTTTTATTTTTATGCATCTTTCCCTTATAAATGTACATTTTAAAGCTAAAAATTTCAACACAAAGTCCACTATGAAGAATAACAAAATCATATTTGCTTTCTCTCAGAGAAAAGCAAATTAGTTTCCTTAAAAGATGCAGAGCATTTGGAAACTTCAATCATCTTTCTCCATGCTTTTAGTGAATGAAACTTTTTTTGCAGAATTGGAAAGGGGTATATGGAAAGGGCACAAACAGTACACACCACACACATCCAGCTTTCCAAACTTCACTGGAATCTCCACTTTCACATTTTTCTATCTGAATTCCAATAAAGGGATGGGGGCAGCATCCCTCTAAGACAGGGGTGTCAAACTGCTGGCCCTTGGTCTGGATATGTCATGCCGAAACCGTGCCCACCCCATTGCCAGCAATGGAAAAACAGTTGTGATATGTCGCAACATGTCACATGAGGTTGCGAGTTTGACACCCCTGCTCTAAGAGAAAGGCTTCCAACTGTGGGATGGGGGATCCCTTGCACCCACCAATTATTTCCTCAGGTATAACATTTTAATTCAATGGATCTAGTTTCCTTCTTTTTTTACACAAATTTCAGACTAAAGGGATTTTTGTAATGACTGGTACTTGCGTACCCACCAAACAGTGGAGTAAAAAAAAGAAGGATTAAAGGATAATAAAGGTACCAAAATAGGAATTTGAAATGGTATTTTAACCATAGCCAGTTACCTGATCCTGAGATAATTTGAAATGAGCCTTTGATAATCTGTAAATGGAATCATGAATAAACAAAGAGAGTGGAGTGGAATAGAGATGAAGCTAACCACAACTGAGCAAGGTGACTTAGAAGAAACAAAGGATCCCTTGTGTGATTAAATCAATCTTTACTGCCAATCTAAACTTATTGGTTCCAATAGTCCCAGGGCTTTTAGACTTGGGACTGAATTTTCCTCCACACACCATCCTCAGGCCATCTGCTTTTTCACTCTAGGTATGAGTCTCACTGAGAAACAAACACAGAGAGAGAGAGACATACAAAATACAGCAATTTCTCACCCTATAAATCCTACTTTCTGCCTATGAAAGGAAGGATTGTGTAGACTTGAAATACTGAAGAATAGAAAGAAAGTCTGGAATATTTTCAGATATGGCTGGCATGATTTAATATGAATGATACTATTAGAAAAGAAGTATGATGAGGATATAGACTTCCTTTCAATTAACACTAGAGAGCCATGGCCTCTTAACTGCCCATATAAAACCATGGGTGGAATAGAGGGACAATGTGCCATAATATTTCACAGATGATCCTGAGGCTGCAGAAAAAGGAATAAGGTGACTTCATAAACCAACCCTGATGAATAAGGGTTATTAGGTCCATTCATGTCTCCCTCTCCTCCCAAGTAGAAACCATGTACAAAGATTGCACTGTATGATATTTTGTGGGTTACTATCTGCAGAAGAAAAAAAATAATTGAATGGTTGCATCGTATTACTATATGTCAAATTATTTCCAATTTTTTAGGAAAAGCTAAAGGAAAGACGTGTGATCAAGACATGGAAAAACCATCATCTTCTACATGAATGCCTGATAGAACATGAGAAAAATTTAAATTTTTAAATTTAAAAACATAAGAAAGATCCGGCTGTTTTGAATGCTTTCAAACAATTATTCTAATTAAAATAATCTGGCTTTACTAATGATTGTGTGTGCTCTTCTGTGTCTGAAGGTTATTGAAAGACATTCTTGGAATCAATGATAATCATGAAATACTCATGGTTTATACAATGACTCACAATTCTGGTCAAAATCATACTGGTCAGATAAGACCTGAGTAGCACCAGCCTCCTTCTTTTGGAAGTTGCTGCTGAACAGACAATGGCTTGAACTTTATAGATGAACCAATAAACTGGACCCTTCCTGGAATTAATATAAAGTATGTGTTACACACTTTGAAGGTACAAAAATGGAACTAGAATTAGTAACCAATCAATCTAGATTATTAAAATATGTTAGGTTAGCAATGCAGAAGACTTCAATTAACAGAATAAATAACAGAGATTTCAAGCAGCTAAAGCAGTTAACAGGCTAATAGCAATAGCACTTAGACTTGTATACCACTTCACAGTGCTTTTCAGCCCTCTCTAAGCAGTTTACAGAGTCAGCATATTGCCCCCAACAATCTGGGTCCTCATTTTACTGACCTCAGAAGGATGGAAGGCTAAGTCACCTTAATAATAATAATAATAATAATAATAATAATAATAATAATAATAATAATAAATTCGCTATTAGTCAATTGCAAAAGGCGGCCTTATTAGGAACTGCTTCCATCCTGAGACGATATCTGTAATACCATCAAACATCCACATCTGCCTATCCCAGGTCCTGGGTAAGGACTCGATAGGTAGACAAAATGCCAAATCCAGTCTGAACATCTGGCTGACTGTGCGATGATCGATAATAATAATAATAATTTGGCTGCACAAGACCAAGCCTTAAGGACAAATGCATATAAAGTCAAAATTGAGAAGACAGCAACAGACAGTAAGTGCCACCTATGCAAAGAAGCTGAAGAAACAGTGGACCACCTGGTAAGCTGTTGCAAGAAGATTGCACAGACTGACTACAAGCAGCGGCATGACAAAGTAGCAACAATGGTGCATTGGAAGATCTGCAAAAAATATCATTTGCCTGTAAGCAAAAACTGGTGGGATCATAAAATAGAGAAAGTCATAGAAAATGATAAAATTAAACTGCTCTGGGACTTCAGAATTCAAACAGACAAGCACCTGCAACATAACACCCCAGACTTAACAATTGTCGATAAGAAAGACAAAAAAGTCTGGATAGTGGACGTGGCAGTGCCTGGAGACAGCAGAATAGAGAGAAAGAACTGGAGAAGATAACAAAATACAAAGACCTACAAATAGAAATAGAAAGACTGTGGCAAAAGCAAGCAAGGGTAGTACCAATAGTCATAGGCTCCTTGGGTGCAATCCCAAAACAACTGGAGCACCACTTGAACACCATTGGCATTGACAAATTCGCTATTAGTCAATTGCAAAAGGCGGCCTTACTAGGAACTGCTTCCATCCTGCGACGATATCTGTAATACCATCAAACATCCACATCTGCTATCCCAGGTCCTGGGTAAGGACTCAATAGGTAGACAAAATGCCAAATCCAGTCTGAACATCTGGCTGACTGCGCGATGATCAATAATAATAATAATAATAATAATGATGATGATAATGTTGGAAGGGACCTTGGAGGTCATCAAGTCCAACCCCCTGCTCAGGCAGGTAACCCTATACCATTTCGGACAAATGGCTGTCCAGTTTCTTCTTAAAAATTTCCAGCGTTGGAGCATTCACCACTTCTGGAGTCAGGTTGTTCCACTGGTTAATTGTTCTAACTGTCAGGAAGTTTCTCCTTAGTTCTAGATTGCTTCTCTCTTTGATTAGTTTCCATCCACTGCTTCTTGTCCTGCCTTCAGGTGCTTTGAAAAATAGCTTGACTCCCTCTTCTTTGTGGCAGCCCCTGAGATATTGGAATACTGCTATCATGTTTCCCCTTGTCCTTCTCTTCATTAAACTAGACATACCCAATTCCAGCAGCCGTTCCTTATATGTTTTAGCCTCCAGTCCCCTAATCATCTTTGTTGCTCTTCTCTGTATTCTTTCTAGAGTCTCAGCATCTTTTTTACATCGTGGTGACCAAACCTGGATGCATTATTCCAAGTGGTCTTACCAAGGTATTGTAGAGTGGTATTAATACTTCGCATGATCTTGCAAAGGAGAAGGAGAATCCATAATTAAACCGCATGATCAATTCATTTTCTTCATCCTCCCTATCCATTCTTAGATGATATAAGTAGTGTTAGGACTTTCTTATCGACCTAACTATCCTGAAGAACTGGTTCACATGATTTTAAGATAACATTTCAATATAGAAAAAGAAGAACAAAACATTTGGATAGTATTATCCAAATAGGAGCCATGGTGGTGCAGTGGTTAGAATGTAGTATAGCAAGCTAACTCTGCCCACAGCCAGGAGTTCAAACTTGACCGGCTCTAGGTTGACTCAGCCTTCCATCATTCAGAGATTGATAAAATGAGGACCCAGATAGTTGGGGGCAACAGGCAATAGAAAATAATCCAACAGTGTCTTAAATTTCAAAAGAGCTCATTTTAACAAACACATAGAGATTATTAAAACAAATAAAACTACATTTGGAAAAGTGGAAAAATCTACAACTTTCGATGCTGGGAAGAGTAACAACAGTGAAAATGAATATCTTACCAAAAATATTTTTTTTATTTCAAACAATACCTATAAGATTGGGGAAAGCCTTTTTTGACGCACTAAAAACAATAATACAATAATACTAAAATTTATTTGTCAAAGAAAAAAAGATAGAATCAGACTGAAAATGTTACAAGAAGCGAAAGAAAATGGAGGACTTGGACTGCTGGATTGGACGCTATATTACCAAGCAACTATACTAACATGGATAAAAGAGTGGATAATAATATTATTATTATTAATAATAATAATAATAATAATAATAATAATAATACTGAATAACTCAGGACATGGCTATCAAACATCAAAAACATCTACCAGACTATCCCATCTCCTTTACATGGATGATCTGAAGCTGTATGGAAAAACATCATCTGAAATAGAATCGCTCCTCAACACTCTATAGCCAAGATATTGTTATGGAGTCTGGCTTGGACAAATGTACCACACTTACTATCAAACAAGGAAAAATAGTGAAAACTGAAGGAATCAAGATGCCCCACAAAAATGATCTTCCGGTGGATCTGCGTTGGGCGATGGCGGCTACTTTCTAGCCGTCCTCCTGGGTAAGTGTAATGAACCGCTATGAACAGCAGACATCAGCTGTTCAGCGGTTCAAAATCCCCCTCCCGGGCAAAGGGGGGGGGCAGAGGGTAGTCTGAATAGTGGTAGAGCCTCTTATGTACCCCCAATTTTCCTTTTTTGGGGGTGATAGAGTGCTCCCACGGAGTTCAGACTGTCTCCGCTTCCCAGCTGCTTTTGTCCTTGGGACAAAACAAGCCCTCGCAGCCACCTCCGCGTTTAAAATGATCTAGTGAGTTTTTTTTAAGAAGCGGACAGAGTTGTTTAGAGGATTTATTTTTTTGCTTTCCTTGACTTTATAGGTATTTTAAATTTAAAGGTTTATTCTTTTGTTATAGTCTTTCTTTTTATTTTTTGATTTTTGCTGAAAGGGAAAGTAAAATGGCGATCGGCAGACTTTCTAGCGTTTTTTTTTTCGGAAAGTTAGAATGGCGATCGGCTTTTTTACCTTCTCTCTTTTTTCTTTCTTCTTTTTAAGGAATTTTTGTTGTTTAATTTTCTAAACATTATTGTTCTGGTCTGATTTTTTGTTTTTGCTTTTTGTATTTTTAAAAGGCAGGCATTTTGGTTTCCCCCCCCCCTCTTCTTTTTTTCACTTTAATGATTGGAGTGTATATTCTAATTTCTTTTATTGATTTATTTTTCGTCTTCTTTGATTTTATTTTAAATCCAAAGGTTTATTGTTTTGTTTATAGTCCTTTTTTTCTACTATTTGCTTTTCTGTTGAAAGAGAAAGCAAATGGCGATCGGGAGATCTTCTAGCGTTTTTTTGGGAAGCTAGAGTGGCGATCGGCTTTTTTTTTACTTTCTCCTTTTTTTTCTTTTTAATGATGGATTTTAGAAGTATTATTATTGTTTTGGTTTGATTTGTTGCTTTGTCTTTTGTATTTTTTGTTTTGCTTCTTGTAAAGGGCAGGTATTATTTTTAAAAGGCAGGCATTTTGGTTTTTTCCCCCCCCCCTTTTTTTCCTACTTTAATGATTGGAGTGTATACTTTAACTTTTTGTTTTGGTTTGATTTGTGGTTTTGTTTCTTGTATTTTTAAAGGGCAGGCATTCTGGTTTTTTCCTTCCCCTTTTTCTTTTTTTTTTTCATTTTGTATATCTTAATTTTTTTTTTATTTTTTTTTCTTCTTTTCTAACTCCCTTTTTTTTATTCTTTTATTTTTCTTATTATTTTAAAGATTTTTCTTTGAGGGAGTTATGATTTTCTTTTGAAGGAATTTTTGTAATTTTTAAGAAGGAGTAAAGTTTTTTTTTAAGATGGCTCCAAAGCGTCCAGTGAATTTCACAGTTCCTAAATCTTCTGTGGCTCAGCCAACAACTGTGAAGGATATGCAACAAATGATGGAAAATTTTACAATTCAAATTAGGGCAGAAATGAAAAAGATTTTGGAAGAAAATAATAAGATTTTGAGGCAAGACATAGTTTTGGCTCTAAAAGGAGTTGCTTCTGTTCTTGAAAAGTTGAATTCCCATGTGGAAGAAGTAGCTGAAAAAGTGGAATTAATGGAGGGGAAAATTGAAAGTATGGAAAAAGAAATGGAAAATGAGATTCTTATGCTTCAATATGGTCAAATGGAATACGCCTTAAGAATTAGGGGCTTGGAAGAGTCCTTGCAAGAAGATCTGAAAGAGATGGTTGCAAAGGACTTTGCCGTAATTTTGAATAAAGAAAAAGAAGGAATACTTAGTGAAATTGAAAAACTATTTAGAGTTAATTCTGCGGTGGCAGTACAAAAGAATTTGCCAAGAGATGTGGTAATTTACTTTGGGAAGAAATCTTTACGCAATGAAATTATACAAGCTTT